CTGGAGTCCGGAAGTTGGCGGTGTATCATCCCCGTGCCTCGGAAAGCACGTAAACTAGGCCATCCTGATAGGTGGCCGTGTAGTTAATTTATTAACAAATTTATATTAGGGTCAAAAATGACTCTTACCAACAATTTATCAGGTTGGCTTAGTGCCAAAAAATAAAATTACAACACACACAATCTGGATCTGATAGCTGGCCTAGTTATCAATAAATGTTATAATAGTACTATGAACGGAAAGCCCGGAGTGAAACGACATTGTTTGGCCTGAAGGTCAGCTGGAAACGTTATATAATAAAATATAATAACTTTCGTAATGTTTTTGAAACAAAAAAAAAACTACACTTTACAATTTGTATTAAAACTTATTCTTTCAAGAATATGAAACAACTAATATATTTTTATAAAATTCTTATCTCATTTACTTGAATTAATAATGAAGTTGTAATAATCTACACATATAATAAAACAGTAACGAAAGAAAAACTGTACATTGAGTATTTTCGAGAAAAAATAAGTGGCTTTTGTTAGAAAAACGTAACTGATGACAAAAAGTGACTTTTTAGAATTTTTGTCTGTTTGTCTGTGTGTATGGTACGGCTTCACGCCAAAACTACTGGATAGATTGAATTGAAATTCTGCCAAAATTTTCTTTGTAAACCAATGAAGGCTTTAGGCTACATATTATCACGCCGTATGTTATAGAAGGTAAGTAATATTGATTTTAAAAGGGTTTTCTTCGTAATTGAATGCACAAAATAATTGAATGCACAAAATTACATGTTATTAGTTAAAATAAAAATAGAATTTAACTCTGGGAACATAATAATCACGCTATTTTTATAAAGGAGCGGGGTAGTAATATTATAAATTGCAAGGGAACAGCTGTTTAACAATATGTCAACGGGGAATTTAGCGGTAAGGTCAGGCCGCATTAAATGGTGCAAGTTTAAATCCCATAATATTGTTTTGAAAAATCGTAAGTTTTGTTTAATTTTTGCACTTTTTATGTGCATTAGGAAATCTGAGAATTTTACATGTCCTATCTAATTGTATGGAGTTATCACACCAATATTACTAAACAGATTGATTGGTGGTACAACAAGTTACACTATCATGAAGTCAAGTCAATCTTTTGATTCTAAGTTATATCTTACCAAGCACATTTGTTGCAGATAATTGATTTAAGTATGTAATTCTTAGTTTTGTTCCTTGTTGCTGTTACCATATTTTTTTAATGCAAAAATAATGTACTTGTCTATTAAATTAACGACAATATAGTTTTAATTCATAATTTAATTAATTCATTTGGGTAAATAATATGTAGTTTCCGTTTACTAACTAGATGGCGTTGGCGTCGAGTTAGATCGCGCTATGGTTTCGTTCCCAAAAAGTGATGTTATAGGTGCCGGTGGGCCGCTCTCATCCTATAGAAACGGGGGTTACCTTTGTTGTCTGTGTTGGTTGATGTGTTTAATTTCCCAGCGAATAATTATTATTTTTCTACTTACTAGTAATTCTTACGTACTTATTCGATTACTTTTCATTGTTATGAATATCGTTAGTATCGGATTAAGAAGGAATTTTAGCTATGCCTTTTAGAGAAATATCGAAGAGGGATCAGAGGTTGAATTTTCAGAATATCCGCTTTGAGACTGCTCGATCACTTGAGAGCTGTCAGGAGCGTGAGATACGACTTGCGCGTGACCGAGAACGTGAGCAAAGCCAAGAGTACAGCTATAGTTTATAAAGAATTTTTTAAAGTGATTTGCAATATTAATGTCAATTCAGTGTACCCTAGGGATCCGAATCCGGATCCGGATCGGTGAAACATACGGAATGGAAAGTTTTTTCTTATATAGGTGTTATGTCTAGGTAACATATAGGCTATAATTTGTTTTGGAAAATGGAACACCTGATGCAGAACCGCAACAGACCAGCTAAAGGTAAAAGAGATATAAAAATGGTGTCATAACAAAAAAATATTCCACGTGAAGAGTTTTTTCTACTGTGAGAATAAATTTGAAGATCTGGAACACCTGTTGTGGAACTCCAAAGTCCAGCGACATAATAACATAAATAGGAATGACGTCTTAGCAAAAGTTGTTTAGTCTGATGGGCATTTCGTGTTGACTTACTAAAATGAAAGATCTGGAACGTCTCGACTCGTCTCGCGCATCACGTTGTTTTCCCGTCCCCGGGCTCTTAGAATTCGACATCAGACGTTTTAGATCTTCGATTTTGACGACCCCGTTGTCGCTGGCATAAGCAACATCATCCGCGTACGAAGTCGCGGGCAGCAGCTAGTTATTTCTATTTTACGTTTTTTACTTTTAGTTTTAATATTATTAATATACCACCGACATTCTTCACTGTTTGAAATTGATCAATCTCTCGTTTCAAAGTCGTAAGAAGAAACGTGATAAACGCGTCTCATGAGATACGATAGATGGAGATATAAGTGAAACCATCTCGTTTTTATACAAGATGTTGAATACCCAGACTAGTATCGAAAGTACCGTCAAAGGTGGAAAAGTGGGTGGTACTACAGTCGCCAATCCACCTGTTAATCGTGATGATTATGGTAAAATATCTAAGAAGTACGAAGGGAACTAATGTCAAGCAGTAGACTGGTTTTAGATTTATGAGGAAGACTATGTTACCTCATTGAATGAAACTATTTTTTGCGAATTTAATCGGGTCCCCCTTCAACTAAGTATGTTGCAAAACACTTGAAACTGAATATAAAAATAAGTAGACTTAAGTAAAACGAGTTTAAACTTAATAATGTAACATTTTTTTTAAATTAACAACGCCAGAGAGCTCATAAATAGCAGAATTTGTAAAATAAATATTCTTCGAAATAAAGTTCTTACTGTAACGCGCGAGGGATATCTCTAACAGTGCAATTTTGCAGGCTGACGAATATGAATAAGATATGATTAAAAAAATGAAAAATCAATCTAATCTTTAGTTATTAAATTAATTGTACAAATTGTTGGTGTTCCTCGGTATCTCCACCCTAGTTTAATTATTATTAAATTATTCGTAACATCTTGCTAGAATTTTTATTACTGATTTCATTCATAAAATACACATAATATATCACCGAAATTTAACTTGACGTAACTTCTTTAATTACGCCATTTTTATTCTGCGCACATGAGAGTGAGATAAACGGGCGGATAAACTACCACCGAAGTGTACGTTTTTCTTTTTTTTTTTTGCAAAAGCACTAAAAATGTAAATATAATGTTGCGAAGAGTGAGCTCATGGTGTTTAAGGTGGGCACGAAGAAACCAAATTTTTAATTTTTTAAAATTTTCAACACTTATTCGCAAAAGAACTGATGAAGAAGCGTCACTGATGCACAGGGTTCGTGGGAGCGCCAACAGCATTCTTAACGTTATTAGTGAGTCATCCGAGTGTACTTTTTTGAGGCACTGGGTTCATGTCCATGTACCCAGGGCGGAATCTAAGCTCTCAGAGTTAGCAACCCTTCCCCTTTCAACATGAAGGACCGCACATTTATCCGTCCCCAGATTCATTCCAATAGAATTGCTAAATTCACAAGTGATGTTTAGCAATTCCTTGAGGTCATCCATATAGAAAAGGTGGGTCACATTTGTTCCTCCCTTTCGTATCTGAAATCCTCTCCCGGAGCCCTCCAGTAAGGTACTAAGAGGGTTCAGAGAGAGGCAGAACCAGATTGGACTCAGACAAACGCCCTGGAAGATACCCCTTCTTATCCTTATGTGGTTCTCCGCAGCCATTATCCGCTCGCCCAGATAACAGAGAATCGTACTCCACTGCCCCATACACTGCTCGAGAAAGTCTCTAACTGTACAGTCAATCTTGTACAGCTCGAGAACCCTCTTTAGCCATGTATGGGGCACCGAGTCGAATGCCTTTCTGTAGTCTATCCAGGCGACGGAGAAGTTCCGGCGGTTGCGTTTCACCACTTTGCCAATGACCGCGTCAATGAGGAGTGGTTCCTTGGTTCCACGACCACCGCCCCGACATCAATTTTGAGCGCGTGATATCACCTGATTTAGCTCCAGTTGACGAGTGATTCTCGCGCTCAAAATGGATGTCAGTGTCTTATATATAGTGGGTAGACACGTGACGGGGAGGTATTTGCTTGGGTCTGTAGTATCCTGATCTTTAGGAACCAAGTGAGTGATCCCAGTAGTGAAGAGGCTCGGGAGCGACTTCTGATCGAGAGCCTCTTGATACTGTCGGGCGAGCACAGCGTGACACACTACGAACCCCTTCAGCCAGTAATGATGCAGCCCGTCGAGCCCCGGACTTTTCCAGTTCGGGGCCCTACGGACCGCCTCAGCTACGTCTTCAGGCGTTATGGTGACGGGGTCCATAGGCGTAACACTTGCACTCTGGCTCGCCACAACTTCCATCCAAGGGCCCTCGCTGTGGTTTACGGGCTCTGACCACAGGCCACGCCAAAATGCGACAGTGTTAGCCTGATCCGGTCCTGGGCCTGCTCCACATACCTCTGGTCGCTCCAATGATTTACAGAGCCTCTTCTGATCACTCTGGAAGAGACGATTCTGGTTGAACCGCCTTGACCTCTCGCTAAATCGTCGAATCCGCTTCCCCCAAGCAGCGATTTTTTACTTCAGGTCATCTATGCGCTCCATTAGTTTCTGCGTGATATCCTGACAAACTAATATTTGTCCCAGCAAACGCCATTCTAACGGTGCGCACAACTCTCGGTCTATTATTACCCGACCTGAAGCTTGTCAGTCTGCCGATAAGGGCCCTTGCCTTTGCGATACGGTCCTCGATCATTTTTCTCTAGGCTGGGATGGCACTATCTTCTTGAGTAGAACGTCCAGCCATGGGAAGTTTGGCGCCAATAATACGGCATACTGCCAGTGCGGCGCCAAAAAGAATTGAGTCCGTCTCGCAAAGGTCCCGGCTGGCTTCTAAATAGGTCACCAGCATTGGGTTAAGAGCCCGCACGACAGCCCGATTTTGCTAGCTAAGGGGTATGCGGGGAAGTCGCGGTCGATTTTCGAGAGGCATGCTGCGCGTTTCCAGCATCGACTCTTCCAATATGCTCCTCATTTTCTCTAGTTCGCGGGGAACTATTCCATCATCGTTTGAATCAACCACAAATGGAATATTGACGGCAGTGTCTACATTTGCAGTTTGCTGCGCAATTAGTGGCGCCGCATTCCCAGCCGTAGCATTTCCATCCGATGAGGGAACAGCCTCACGTCGTAGTCGTTCGGCGTCACCAAATATGTTGGAGCGCAGGATGTACCGAACTCGGTCTGCCAGGTTTTGCTCAGTGACGGATAGAGATGGCTCCAGCTCTGCAAAAAAGCGATGCATCCGAGCCCGATATGCCAAACATCCGGTTTCTTCCCCCTTTTGCCCTAAAGTACGCCCATAGTGCGTTTGCGTTCATTGTTTGTGACCAACGCTTGCGACGTGCTCCACCAGCGGCGGGTGCCGCTTGCTGAGTCCGAGAAGACCCAGCCGACACCAAGCCTTCTGGTGGGGATGATAGATGCGGAGGGCTGTTAGGTGATCGTACAGCTCCTCGCGCTCGGCTGGCGGCCCGCATGCTGCCACGTCCAGCGCCAGCTCCAGACGCGCCCCGGCGACCCCCAGGCAGAGGCCCTATGCGCATTCCTCTTTGTACCATCATCCATTTATGGGCGCCAAATAACGGGAGACGCCCAAGCCCGGCACCGTTTTGTGGTTCGGTCATATGCACAAACGGACCTTTGCACCCACAATTTTGCCTAGGCACGGCGCTCACACCTCTTGGCAGGGCGCTGACTGGCGCCGACGTAGTAGTTTTGTCACATAACTGTTACGTCAGCGGGCGATGGGGTCGTCACTTCCCTACGCCTTTTTATTATTATTATTATTATTAAGAAATTATTACTTTATTTTCGATATTATTACAAATAATTACGCATTTGATATAATTAATATTAGTAATGATTTATAATTTTAGTATTAGAATAGATGTTAATGAATGTTATTACCCTATGATCCTTGTTGATTGAAATAAATTAATAAATAAATAAAAATAATTTAGGTTTACTATTAATTACATATACCAAAAAATATTACAATTCACGCGTTTAAAAAAGTGATCAAACGAACATGACGCCATGTTTTAGTTGCACTTGTCTCTACCCACTCGCAACCTCACGCAGGCTGAATGACGTCATTGGTTCAATGCGCACCCTACCACTAGGTAATTTCTAAGAGCGTAAGTAAAAAGAGTGGGCACTTATGCACTCTTATACTCAAGTTCACCCTTCTAAGCTGTATCTACAAATCTAGCGAACGTATAGCTGGTTCGCTTAATTTGAAAGGGACTACATATACATTTTACATAAGAATTGTTTATGGAACAATAGCTCAGTTAATTGAATTTTGGAGCAGAAAATAATTTTTCAAATATTGTTTTGCTTGTCTTAACAAAATTATATTTCTATAAAAACTTATGTTATGTATTTAAGTAGTAAAAGTTACTGGTGGTAAGACTCTAGGAATTCTTCTAGGTAGATAGCATTAGCGTGCGCCAAATAGCGTGTTATGTAGTAGTTCTTGAATTGCTGTGATCTGATCTGAAGTTTATTTTTTTTATAGAAGAGGGGGCAAATGAGCATACGGTTCACCTGATATTGAGTGACTACCACCGCCCATGAACAACCGCAATACCAGGCGAATTGCAGGTGCCGGCAACGCACCTGCAATTCGCCTGGTATTGCGGTTCATTAGAAAGGAGTAAGCTCTTTTCTTGAAGGTCCCTACGTCGTATCGGTCCGAAAAAATCGCCGGTGGTAAACTATTGCACAGAGAGGTCGTACGCGGCAGAAAACTCCGCCAATCCAGATGGTGTGGATGGTATCGGGAGTTTGCCGGGTGGGTTCAAATTGAGCTGGGATTAAACCGAACAATTCCTCAGAGCACTCCCCGTGGTATATGCGAAAGAAAATGCAAGGTTCGGAAAGCACTCGGTCGTTGCCTATTCGAGCCGCTCTGTGCTGGATGCGGTCAAGACATTCCAGCTTAATTCTTGAAGGTTACAACGCATCTATAGCCTTCTTCGTTTGAAGTTGGCTGCAGATTTTCCATACACTGCATTAGTCACTTACTATCAGATTCACTGCAACTTCATTTGTCATTTTTGTTATATATAAAACTAGCTTGCCCGGCAGACGTTATTCTGCCCTATTTGACGACACTTTGTCATGTCCTATTAAAAATCCTTAAATTCGCAAAAAAAATTGTGGGTCACTCATGGGCAAAAAAACTATATCTCTCAAGTTGGACCAAACTGCACACGGTGTGCAAATTTGATTATAATCGGTTAAGTATTTTAGGAGTCCATCACGAACAAACAACGTGACACGTAATTTATATATATTAAGATGTATTACCAGGAAGTATATTAATGGATTTATAAAGCATACCGATACGTAAGCATAAATAAGCATAGCTTTGTCAAGATATGCTTGAATATTCACAATGCGTATCCAATTTCAACCCCGTCTTGCGGACATTGCTTTATGGATTAATTTCAAATTTCAACGCAGTCTTAGTGAATGTTGAAATCACAGAGGGTTTTAATCATTGGCGTGTCTCGTGTAAGCCACAATATACCACATTTGTTCCAATGTTTGATATTAATGGCTTAAACCGTCACCCGTTATCATAATCACTACAATCGTGAACATAATAATCATAATCTCTTCTTTTAAAGAATAAGTGTTACAACCGAGCACACATTCTACATAGAATGTGGTTGACGTGGATCAGAGACATACACATTACACATATGAATGCAACGCATATGTTGTCGTCCCTGTGCACTGTGTCAAAAGGATCTCCAGTTCTCTACCTTCTCCAGATTTTTACCTTGTTAGTTATTTCGAAATTTTATACCTTCATAGCTCTACCACGTTAATATAATTATTTTTCAGAATTACCTATTATATTAGCCCTTCAATCCTAATAAAAATCCCATGCAGTCGCATGCGCACGGCAAATCCCGAGCGGTCGCATGCGACCGCACCCACCCACAGCACTTAAAACCATCAAAACTTATATTTAGAGACTACTTTTCTATGAAGAATTTAGGCATTATAGAATCAATATGAAATTTTCTTAATATTTTAAATCGACCCTGATTTTTATTCTCTAGTGTAATAATAAAACAGTTAGCATATGGATATTATTTATAATCTACGTTCATTTCGTACGCCATTTTCGCGTGAAAGGGTGCGGTCTCACCAGACCGCTAGGGATTTAACGGAATATGGTCGCTAGGGGAATGAGAGGTTGAGAATATTTTTATATCTTCCTGTTAAACCCTTTTTGAATACCTACATATTTTACTTTGCTTGCCCGTGTTTCTTATAGCAAAGTCTGCTAGGTTTCGCTGGGTACAATTATTTAAAAATCAAATTATTGATGTATTCTATAGAAGAGAATTGCAGTAGAGCATTCTGCAACTTTTAGTTAAAATAATTTTTGTAATAAAAGTTGTCGGTTTGTAATTACACGCGAGTGGAGCCGCTGGTAAAAGCTAGTATGATACATAAGAGCAATCGTCTTTCAAATTAGTGTTTTGGTAGTCATTATTTCAGTCTACGACATTCGCTGTTAAATCCAGACTCCTCTTAATTAAAATTGGAAAGTTATGAAAGGCGTCTGGGATAACTATTAGAATAGCATCGCAGGTAAGTACAAATTGATTTTTGACAATTATTTGAAGTGATCTGAACGATATGAACGTGTTGTTTTAACTTTTTTATGTGGTCGCGACAGAATCATCTTATCCTTTGAGTATTGAACTAAACGACTAGAGAAAATGACATAAAGATTAGCTATATAGCTATTGGTACGTCTATGGGCTGCGGTATCTATCAGATTCAACTTTTAGTTTTATGACTACGACGTTTTGCGCAAAATCTTTATTACGTCAAATCTGCTTTATTATCCAAAAGGACTATTTACCAGTAGTATGTTTACAAGCGCTCAATAAGATGTTAGAATTGTTTTATTTATGGAAAGTAAGTGAAGATTACAAATGGATGTAGAATTTTTCACCTGAACCTGACCAAAACATATATATATATATATATATATATATATATATAATAATAGTACCTTTCTTAGGCTCTGTACAACTGTATTGATTTTATAATAATCCGTAATATATTTATTATTTTGAGGTATTTATAGAGCATTCTCACTTGGTTGAGCTAAATAAATATATATAAAAAAATGATAAATATCATAGAATACTATAATATAGGCGTCGCCGGGAGCACACATACAAGCAATAATGTCGTGTTATCACTACTACAAACCCGATTCGCTGTGTTGACAGACAGATTTTAATAGATATTTATTTGTAAATAGCGTGCAATTTGGCATTTTCTAAATAATTTGCATGGGAAATTTGGAAACGATTGTGACGTCAAAACACTTTTTTTAATTTATTTTTATAGGAAAAGGGTGACAAGCGAGCACACAGTCCACCTGATGGTAAGTGTTTGCTGTGGCCCATAGACATCTACATCTATCCTTGTTTGCGAATCAAAATGAAGATGCGTTGTCAGTCTTGAGGACTAAGATGGAATGCCTCTTTTCCAGTAAAAAGGGTCTCCGGTTCTCTACACTCACCATACGAAACACTGCAGCATTAAGCTGCTATTTGACGCTGGTATTCTGTGAGAGCGTGGTCCTTCCCCGGTCGAGCCGACCCATTCGTGCTACAACTATACTATTAATATAGCTGCAGCATGGCTCTACAACGTTTAAATACACGTATAAATGTCAACACATCTCGTGTTGACATTTCTACGTGTGAATTGACGTGTTAGTGATATTTTAGTGGCTACACGAGCTCCGCCCACTCCCCCGTTCTATTATGTATGTATTATAGTATTCTATGATAAATATAGATAAATATGTATTATTTTATACTAACACAAATAAATAAATCGTAAATAAATAAATAAAAGTCTAATCAGATGGGAGCCCTTGACAGGGGAGACCAAACGCCCGAGGGTTAGGGGGTAAGGAAAAGAAACCGGTAGACGAAGCGGCCGGTATCGAGGAGCACCGCCTTCTGCATTTGAGCCTGGAGCGATCTGTTACGGAGTCCCAGTTGCCTCAGATGACTAGAGAGGCTGACCGGGGTTAGCCCGTTCGCAGAGACGACTACAGAAATTATTTCGGTTGGCAGACCACCCCACATGTCGGTCACCTCGTGAGCCAGGTCCAGATATATTGTGTGTATGTTTCGGCTTCCACGAGGTTCTCATCGTACGGAACGGTTATGTCAACCAAAAATATCC